ACCCAACCTTTCTTCTGAGGTGCCTCTGGGTGGACTTGAACTTTCAACCCATTCATAGTCAAGCTTGTCAACTGTTTAGACCATTCTGGGACTCCTCTGCTGATGAATAAACCTAGGTTCCAGAAGACATGTAGTACTATGCACTCTATAAAGCATCAACCCTTCAGTTTTAATGGACAAATTTATAGCTGAAATAGCTCTAAGCAGATGAAGCCCAGAAACATATTTCACTAGTTTTTCCCTCAGTATGCTTTGGCAAGTCCTCTCACTGAGAAGCATCCTCCAGGACAAAGTTCCCTATCTTTCAGAGAATTGACCTGCTATTTTTTTCACAGCTTGTCAGACCACGTCATTTCCCAGCTCTCTATGTTTGTCTCAGTGTCCTGGGATCTAAAGCAAAAACTCATTGAGTCGGCTCCAACACATAGTGCCCCTGTACAGAGTTTCTGAGAAGAGGCTGGTGTATTTGAACCACTGACCTTACGGTTAGCAGTCCCTCTGTAAATACATCCCCTCGATTTTTCTGCTAAAAGATTAATTTAGAGTTTTAGTTTCTGAAAGTGGGGTTTTAAAAAAAGCTTGAAATTTTTGTTTTTGCTCTTAAGTGACATCGAGTTGATTCAGACCCATAGTGACTCTATATAGGGTGTCTTAGGAGTAGCTGGTGCGTTTGAACCACCAACCGACCTTGCTGTCCAACTCCTTATCTTGTAACACCACACCAGGACTTCTAAAAATGCTTAGTTCTTTAGAACTAACCATATCTGCAAAGGCATCTGAGAACATAACGTTATATAATGAGAAACTGTCAATGAAAAAGAGCAAGGTTTTTAGGGTCTCCTTTACTTGCTATCTGACTCTCCAACCTACAAGGGTTGAAGTCTCTTTCCTATGATATAGTGCATATCAACAAATCCATCTAACTCACCTTGCTTAATTTTTAGACTCAGATTTATTTCAGGCTAGGATTAATGGTTAACAGTTGATATTTGAAAGTGCAGATTTGGTTAGTGGGTGTGCTAAACGTGATTTAGTTTGATTGCTAAGGCACACAGGCAAATTCCGCTTCTCTGGCTGTCTCCGTGAAACTTGTATGAATGCACAACAAAAAAAAATAAATTAATGTATTGGGAGGGAAAGCAACTCTCGTTTGGTACATTTTTGATATGCAGAGATTTTAAGGTCTTTCACACGCAGGCATGCAGTAAAAAGAAGCATGCTGTTACACAACATTGGGAAACAATAAAAGTAAATATTTATGTTAAGAGAACAGTACCTACCCAAACTCATTTAGAGGAGGATGAAGACCATTTGGGGAGAAGCAAGCTACCCTCATTACCAATTACTTGTGGCAAATAATCAAACAAGTTGTTTTCAGGTATGGTTTCTAAATTATTATTTAAGATTTCTGTTGAGAAAATATTCCTTAAAGTGCCATTTCCTGTCATGGTTTTTCTATGTTGTTTAAAAATTTGTATTTGCTAACATTGACTAATATAGTAGAGTGTTATTTTTTTTTTCCAGATTTAACATTTTAGAAGTTTTTAATTAATATCCATATCTGATTGGAGAGGAGATGCAGAATGAAAGAAGAGTACAGTTTTGATATAATAAGTACTTTTAGATGTTAAAAAAAAAAAAAATCAAGAACAATATTGAATATCCAAAGCCTTGATTGGTCTTACTGACTGATTATTCTGTTTTTCTTAAAGTAGTTAGCTTGACACTGGAGATAGGTATGTTAGATGACAAACACAACCAAATAATTTGCAGGTTTAAAAAAATATATGAAACTTCATAAATAGAAAAACGTTAGAGTTATTTGATAGACCTAGAGAAAGACTTTGAAGAAAGAAAGAAAATACATTGGAAGAGAAGACAAAGTTGGAAAACTGGGGTGGAGAGTATCTGATGAATAGTGAGCTGGAGGCAGTGGAGATGAAGAGAGGGAAGGGAGAGAACTCGTAATGAAGGTGCTCTCTAGAACCTGTCAGATCTACCTTCTTCAGAACTATGAAAGTATTGTATTATTTACAACCACACAAATATTTTTGAAAGATTATGATAGAAATCACATAATTCTGTTACATGAACTCTGGCTCCTATTGATGGATTCCCTACCTCACGATTTCTTTATAATTCCTGATGCCAGTAACTACATTATAAATTTATATTTTTGTTATAAAGATATGTTACATTTTTCTTTTTTCAGGATGATTTTATTATATCAAATGATGCATTTCATTTTATTTGCTTCAGTATCTGGTGGTAAGTAAAGTTTTATAAGTATAACTGGAAAAAGCTTCAGCCCCTGATCTGTAGAGTAGAAAGCAAATCCGACTGTTTCCCATTCATGTGGGGTAATCCCACTCCATCTTATCCAAATGAAGGAAATGAGTAGTTTTATTTATTTTTTGCTTAAGGCTCCAAGGTTTTCAAAACAGAAAAGAAACTAAGGTGAAGGAATTCTTAAAATTGTTGTTGTTGTTGTTAAGTGCTGTAGAGTCAATTCCAACCCATAGAGATCCTGTAGGGGATTAGATTATATCTATATCTATTTATATAATACATTTAAATTATATTTCAAAGAAATATTAAAAAGTAGAATACTTGATTAGCTTCACTGATTAGTCTGTTTTCTAGAAAGTGGTCACTTCAATGAATATTTGCTTTCCTTCCAAGCTGCTGTTGAGTTACTCCCAACTCATAGTGATTCCATGTGTGTCAGAACAGAACCGTGCTCCAGAGGGTTTTCAGTGGCTGGTTTTTCAGAAATGGATCTCCAGGTCTTTATTCTGAGGTGTTTCTGTTGTTGGTGGTAGGTGCCATTGAATTAGTTTCAGTTTATGGGAACCTTATGCACAACAGAATGAAACACTGCTTGGTCCTGCGCCATCCTCACAATCTTTGTTAGACCTGAGCCCGCTGCTGTTGCCATTATGCCACTCCTTTTCATTGGGGGTCTTCTTTGTTTTTGCTGACCCTTCACTTTGCCTAGCATGATGCTTTTCTCAAGGAACTGGCCCCTCTTAAAAATAAGTCCGAAGTATGAGAGATGAAGTTTCCCCATCCTGGCTTCTAACGAGAATTCTGGCAGTACTTCTTCCAACACAGATTTGTTTGTTCTTTTGGCAGTCTGTGGTATTTTTAACATTCATCTCCAATATCATAACTCAATGCATCAATTCTTCTATGGTCCTCCTTATTCATTATTTAACTTTCACATGCTTATGAGGCTATTGGGTCAGTGACACCTTAGTCTTTAAACTGGCATCTTTGCTCTTGAGCACTTGAAAGAGGACTTGTGCAGCAGACTTGTCAATGCAATACGTCTGAATTCTTGACTGGTGCTTCCATGAGTGCTGATCCAAGCAAAATGAAGTATTTGACAACTCTAATCTAGTCTCCGTTTATCATGATGCTATTTATTGGTCCAGTAGTGAGGATTTTTTTTTT